GGCAACTTCCCAATGGCTGACTGGCCTGAATTGCACTGCAGGCTGTTGGCTGTGTTCACAAGGTGGAGTAGCACACTGCCCAACCAGGAAGCAAGCCAGCTGGACGGGAGCAGGGCTTTGGTTCAATGTCAGGTCAATCTTTAACCAGAACATTCGTTTTCTAGCCGTCAAGGTAGAAATAAGTCCACCTACAAAACACAGGCTAGAAGGAGAAGTTGCACTGATTCAGCTAATTCTAGTTTCTGTAATTTTGTTTTACTTCACAAACCTGTTTTGCTCATGTAAGATAATTCCAAAGGGCTTCCAAAGCCCCTCAAGCAGTGAAGGTGCTTGTTCATAGAGCATTATAATAAATAAACTTTATTTTATATCACGCCTTTAAAGGTAACTTCTCAAAGCGCTTCACAGAATGACAACAATAAAAAAAAATACACGAGATATGCACGATGAGAACACACAGAGGAGACAGTAGGTAGTGGTACTAAATACAGTAGGAACAGTTAAGTTAAGGCTCTTCTAAAGAAGAAGGTTTTGAATCATAGAGTGCAGACGGGCTTGGAGGACAGGTAGGACAGAATAAAAAGAGCAAAGGTTGTTAGGTTGGGAGTAGGGTGATCGTAACTCATACAGGTACTGAGGTGCCAAGCCATACAGAGCCTTATAGGTGAGCATGAGGATTTTGAGGTTCACACGAAGCTTGACAGGAAGCCAGTGCAAGGACCCCAGGGTAGGAGTAATGTGATCACTTGCACTAGACCTGGTCAGGAATTCTGGCTGCCGAATTTTGGACAGACTGGAGTTTGTTGAATGTGGATTTAGAAACCCCAACATTACAGCATTACAGTAGTTGATTCGGGAGAAGACAAATGTGTTGACCAGCTTTTCAGCCACAGTTAGTGATAGCATAGGGCGTAGTCGAGCGATATTTCTAAAGTGAAAGAAAGATGTTTTAACAATATGCTGCACATGTGGGTTGAATGTCAAGCCTGAATCAAATATCACCCCCAGGCCTTTCACTGTAGACTGAAGCTCAAGTACAGTACCATCAATAGGAGGGGATACAGCATTGGCTTGACAAAGTTGATGGAGGGTGCCAATAAGCATGACTTCAAGTCTTGTCACAGTTTAGATGAAGGAAATTTTGAGTCATCCGTGTTTTTATGCCGGAGATGCAATTAGATAGAATAGAAACAGCCACATCAGTGTCAGAGCAGAGAGAGCCCAGACATCACCAGATCAAGTGTGTGGGGTCATTAGCCCCCTGGGACTGCTGGGGTTGGTGGGCTTGGGCTGGCCAGGTGTTCTCCCCCATTTTGCCACAGTCGATCTGCTGACTGGCTGGGTGTCTGTAAGCATGCTCGTGCGGTCCGAGAGATCCATTACCACTCCTCCTGCAGCTACTAGCTTCTCTTTAGCTCCCATGGGACTTGGCAGAATAGAGACTAGTGAGTGGCTCTGACAGGTGCACATTTCTAAGGAAAGCTGGAACGGTCGGAATCCCTCCCATGTCCTTATGAGGGTCATAGAGGGAAACTGTAAATGGGTGCGTTTTGTCAACAGTCTTTGACTGCAGAATTAACAAAAATGTTCAGAGGCATTATGGAATTGGTTCTCTGTGACAGTCCTGGCATAATCCAAATTATTTAAAATATATATATATATTCTGTCTCAATGGAAAGAAAAGAGATGCAGGGGTTAAGAGGAGGTGAAGTTATTTCTGTTTTTTTTTTTCAAAAGAAACTGGGTGAAAAGGTGACGTGGATTGTTTCCTGTCTCAGGTAAGAATGCCCTCCGTTCCTGTCAAGGCTGAGAACGACAGCTCCGCTGGCTCCTGCCCAGTGTCTGCTCAGTCCCACCAGGGCGCGGTGAACGGAGACGACAGCACCGTGGAGATGAAGTGGATTCGCCCCGATACCCCCAGCAAGTGCACCTGGAGGCTGGGAGCCCCTCCCACTGAGTCCCCGCACCTCCACCTTGAGCTGTGAGTGTCTCTGCTCTCTCGTTCTGGCCTGAACCCCCCTGACATTTACCACATTCATCTCGCCTACGGCAGCTCGCGTCTAAGTTGCTTGAAGTGACCACGGTTTGCTCTGACTGGGGGTGTGTGGTTCTGTGCCTGTTAGGAGGTAGAATCACCTCAAAACAATGCTTTTTTTAACAAATTGTGAGACGTGCTGGTATGCTGTATACAGTAAATTACAAAACAGGCTTTATGTACTTAATTTCAAGCTCAGCTCTCTACGTTTCTTATCTGTCTGATATCACCCTCCCTCTGCAGCAACTCCCCTCCTCTCAAACAATTTTTGTAAATGTAGTTCCTTGCTTTAATTTATCCACCACTGAAATGCAGCTTCCACCTGGGTGGTACACACAGCAGCCGATCTACAGCAGCCGCCCCACTGCTTTCCTGATCAGATGGTAAAGTGAGAATATTCACCAGCTGGATTAAGGGGGACCTTTGAGGAGTCAAACCTGAATGGCACTTAGATGGGTTAACACCCCACGATGTTGTTCAGAAAGGTTTCATCCTGTGACATGATCAGTGTGCTGCACGATTACATTTCTCCTTTCGGAAAATGCTGGTCCCTGTACAGGACAGACCTAATACAGGGGTTGGGTGATCAGTCTGTATCTTGAATAACCGTCTTTTTTCATAACGCAGAACAAAACCTCCTGGCATCATGCCGAACATCCTGATGAATATCGGCAACACCCCACTAGTACGAATCAACAAGATCGCAAAGGCCTACGGGATCAAGTGTGAAGTGTGTAAGTTCTCCTTCCTTTTCTCCATATGTACAGCTGGGCATTTAGCAGGAGCAGTGTCTAGCCTGGGATTTGTACCTATAACCTTCCAGTTACAAGTCCACAGCCTTATCAGCTACTCCATGCAAGCAAGAGATGGCAAATTAGGCCAATATACCCATTTGACAGTTAATTGATCCAACAATCTCACCCAGCCCTTTCTTGAAAGAAGCTAGGTTATTAACTTCAACTACATGGCTGGGTGGCCTGTTCCAGAGTCCTACAACCCTTTGTGTAAAGGTGCATCCTATCCTTGGTTTTAAATGCACTTCCACATAGATTACATGTGTATCCTCAGGTTCATGTTTCACTGATTCTGAAGTAGTCCATCGGATTGACTTGGTCAGTACTTTCAACGGATAGGTATACTCAGAATCCTCAATTTTAGGGCTTAAGGCATTCCTGAAAATCCCATGTATAAAAAAAAAACAGTAATTCAATGGCTAAATTAGCATTAAGTTATATGGGGAAAAATATAATGCGTTCTCTTGTCCACAATTTCCATCCATTTTCACCTAAAAATGCTTAAAACAAATTCAGTTGATTATTTCATGCTTTTCATTAAAAATAAATAGCCTTATACTGTATTTGTACTTAAAGAGAAATCAGTTCTCAAATCAATTGGTGATACTGTAATGATCATATTTTGTATTGCTTTATTTAGTCATTAATAATTTAAGGAAGAGCTCTTCAAAAAAATTGAAAATGAGGAAACTTAGCCGAGCATAAATGTAATTGATAGCTACGGCAATGAACAGTAGGTGCTATAAAAAATAGAACTTATGTAAACAAGGACAAACCGGTAATTATCAAAAATAGGTTTTTGTCAACAATGATAAGTCATCTTGTCACCTTCCTCAATGGCCTTTTTTAGTAAAAACTGCAAACAACGAGGTAGCCTTCAGCCGAATGAGAAGAAAACTTTGCATCATGGCACGCTTAGTCTGATCTTCATTCCACTGCAATTACAGTTTTTCCCATTTTTTCCAAAATTGGATGCCTGGCTTTAGAAACTGCTAAGCACCACCATCTGCAGATTCAGCAGTTGGCTGAATTTTCGTTTTATTCACATACACGGTACGCACAATTGACAAAGATAAATGTAGCGTGTCAGAAATGTTTTTGCTTCACGGCCAGTGCGATATTAAGAAAAATTGCACCGATGAACACCCTGTATAACAGCACACTTAGAGGTTGGTGGCTTTCTCACACACACATTGCTATTTGGGAACCAAGGTGTTTAAGGTAGAGAAGTTCAATCTTGTTCACAGCCTTGCTTTGTTAATCAACCTGTGTTTGTTATTGGAAATGTGGGTGTTAATTGAAATTGCTCATCTAAGCGAAATCTCGTAAGCGCAGGGCTCCTAGATCGAGGTATAGGTACACTTGAATTGGGTCCCTTGGTAATCTTCCCTGAGCGTTTGGTTTAGCTTGTCACTGTGGGATATTCCTTTAAACCCGGGAATGTCTCTTTGCCCTTCACTGGATTGATTCCAAAGCAGGGATGGTTTTATAAATTGGTCACCCAAATTGTGCAGATTTCTAACTAGTGCATTGTTCAATTTTAACAATTTTAATTGTATTTTCCAAACGTTTATGTTTGCCTTTTTAATTTTTCCTCACATTGTGTAGAAGAAAAATGATGTGTCAACACGAACACCTAAGTCTTTCCTCCCAGCCTTTGCAGATGCTCAAAGAAGCCACACAAAATTGACACATTACAGATGAATGAATGCTTCATTTCTCACCAATAGCTCTCTTACAGAGGGCACAGGACAAAGCCACAATGAACCATTCATATATCAATTAAATAACCACAGAGTGAAAGGCATCATTTTCTCAGGGGTCTTAGAATACGAGTGTTGGCTTTCATCTGCGCCACTACGTTTCCTTCCAAGAGGAATGGTTCATTTAACTGCAGATTAGATGTCCAGTCTATAAGTCAGATTCTGTCTTGCGTAACTGGCTTCAGAGGTGATGGAAAGGCCCTCATTGTTTGCCAGGGACATAATCTCTGGAGTTTGCGACTTAAAAGGAAAATGACTAAAATCCCAGGATTGTGTGGTTTTGTCACGGGTTCTGGCTTCTCCCAATGGAAGGCAACTGCTTGCCAAGTAGTTAATACTTCTGAAGGTATGAAAAAGAGCACCAAGTTGCGTTCCCAGAGCGATTAACATGTTAAAGAAGAAAAGATGTAGCCTTGTCCAGTGGTTTTGAACATTGTGACTGTATAGTGGAAGATATGGATCCATGCTACAATGCTACGCGCCGACTTGACTTTAAGAAACTAGGCATTTTCTGTTTTGTTCTTAGTTGCCCTCCTGTTGAAAACGTGAAAAATAAAATAAGCAGAATGAGGACTATTCTTTCTTGCGATCCGATTTTTTTATTTTGGTTTCAGCAAACAACACCACAATAGCAACATCATCATCAAAAACACTGTAACAAGTTCCTCCTCCTTTTCCAAACCCCACAATGATGGAACCCACGTCGGTCTTTCAGTTAGCCTTGTCCAGCTTTCCTCCAGATCTCGGAAATGGCATTGCTAGCCGCAAAACAAGGACCGGTCTATAAAGGTCTATAAATTTACTTCCCTGTATTGATAAAACGTATTCATCCATTGACCAAAGTTGGCTAGAAGTACGTTCAGAGGCCCTAATATACGGTTGTATACGGAAAATGTAGGCACCCTGGTTAGATTGTATGTTTCAGTGAATCTCTGAGTGAAAAGAAGCTAGCGCAGTCTCTGTGTGGTACAAAGTTAAACAAGATATCTTTCTGCAATTTTTAATGCAAAATTGGTATTTGCAATTTGTACATATTTGAAATGATAAAACAGCGAATATGGCACATGCAAATGTTTGGGCATCCCGTTAGTCAGGATTTAGTAAAATTTTCTATTCTTGCCTTTTTTTTTTTTACCACTCTTCTTTGCAGAACTCTCCTAGCTCAGAAGTATTCTTAGGACTTCTTGCATGCCGGCATTTTTGAGATCTCCCCACAGACAATGTTCAAATCCGGAGATTGTTAGGGTTATTATTGGTGTTACTCTTCAGCAACAACCTCTTATTCACCCCTTTATGCCCTAAAGACCGTGGACTAGGATTAATTGATATTTAGTTGAATCCATTCTTCCTTCCACCTGCACAATATTTCCTGTGCCACTAGCCGCCATAGAACCCCAAAGTAACCAACCCCCATACTTAACAGTTAGCAAGGTGTTTTTTACTTCAAATGCTTTGCTTCTTTTTCTCCAAATGTGTCTTTTGTGGTTGTGGCCAAAAACGTCAATTTTCTTTTTATTAGTCCACTTTTAATTGTTTAAATGTTTCGAGCTTATCAAGGATTTGATTTGCTTAGTTTACATGTCAAGTTTTGTGATGAGGTCATAGAATCTCCCATGGAGATAATTTTTGTGTACATAATGCTGTACTGTGGACTTTGGACAACAACTCTAGTGTCAGCTAAACTTTTCTGCAGGTCCTTTGCACTGATCTGTGGGTCCTGCATTGCAGATCTGACCGGTTTTCGAGCAGCCCTGAGATTTTTGCCGTCTTCCAGATCTCACCTTAACTATAACAGTTCCCTTTAACTTCCATTTTTAATGTTTCTGACAGCTGATATTGCAAGCTGGAAGTGTTTAGAGACCCTTTTATAGCCTTTCCTTGCTTTATAAAAGTCCCATTTTCTTTTTTTTAAGTCTTTAGACAGCTGCTTGGAAGAACACATGGTTCTTGAAAGTATGCAAAACAACAATCGTAACCTGAGAGCTTAGAAGGATCAGAGTGATTGTGCACCTGATTGAATTTAAGTCAAGCTTTGAAAAACACAAATTTAAAAAATTGTAATGAATCAGCTGGAAGGGTGCTCAGACTTTGCGCATGCCACATTCACTATTTTTTCAGTCTTTTATAATTAGCACATAAACAGTAGTTGTGCATTAAAATGTCCAGGAAGATGTGACATTTAAGTTTGTAGGACACAGAGGTTGCCATCATCTTTTCATTTGGAGATTCGCTTTAACTAACTGTTTGACCAAGGGTGCATAACCATTTGATTACATTTGCCTACATTTGATTACATTTTTGAATATCAACAGTGTATGAATAATTCTCCTTGGTTTAAGTCTGTGGAAGGAGTTTTTATACAGTGCAGATTAAATGGTACAGTGAATATTCGTTTAAGAAATGTCTCTGGAAGTGTTTGGTCATGAAACAAAGAATTCCTCATGTTTGTGCCAGGATATCTGATCCCAGACACCTGAGAGAAAAGCCTGTCTTGATATAAAGAATTTTGTTTTAGAAATATGTTCAACATGATTGTGTGTTATATTAAGTAAATGAATATGGTGCACTGAATTTTTTTATTGAAGCAAGAAACGCACTTATTAAGATAAGATTTTATTGTCCTCTGAGGGAAACTTTTTATGTAACTATGTCTATTTACACAGACATACTGTAGATGTCATCTTTTTGCACAAGACCAGAGAAGTACAATGCAACTCTGCAGCTGCTGTGACGCATCTCTCTCCCTTCTGCCGTGTAGTGGCTAAGTGTGAGTTCTTCAATGCTGGCGGCAGCGTCAAAGACCGGATCAGCCTGCGTATGGTGGAGGACGCGGAGAAGGCTGGGATTCTGAAGCCAGGTGACACCATCATTGAGCCAACATCGGGAAACACTGGTACGTTCAGATGGGACGCAAAACCGAGGTCCTGATTTTCATGCTTATTAAAAATCCAGTGCATTTCTTGAGAAGATGTCCTGTCCAAACTTCCCCTTGGCTTTTACTAATCTTGGCCTCCTAATAATCCCCATCTATGAATTGGCTTCATCACTCTGTTCTCTTCCCCACTGATAGCTGGTGTGCGTTCTGGCCCACTATGGCTGCCGTCGCATCACCAATGTGCAGCACCCACCTGGATGGTGGCAAAGCTGAAAACCCATTACCTGTAAAACACTTCTGAGTGGAGTGTCCATAAAAGCACTATAGAAATGTAAGGAATTATGTTATCAGAGCTCAAGTGGGGCTCAACCTTAGTGAGTGTTAGGAGCATGCTAGAGTGGCTGTAGAATTTATTGATACTCCCTCTAGCTAGAAACAAATAAGTATTTTGCAAATTGTAGGGCTTTTACAGTAATCCTTTCAGCTTCCTATTATTTGCAAACATGATAGTCAACCGTAGTCCTGGCAAATCCAGTTGAATTTAATCATTCAGCAAATCCTCCTGATTTGGGCTTTTGTAAATCTTGTATTTTAAATTAGTTAGATTTTTTTTCAAATGTAAGTAGTTGTTTATTCTTATGGTTTAAAAGCCTTTATACAATTTTGTTGTAAAATTAGATAAAAAATATTAATACTTGTAAGTATAAAACTGTAATTATATTGTTACGAAAATGGTGAAAATCAGGAATTTGTCAAGTGGTTAAGTCAACTAAAATAAATGTTCATAATCCCCAAATTGTAAGTGCTTTTTCCAGAAAATACCCGAGCGGTTGGTATAATAGAGGAACATGAACTCTATATTCTCTGTCACAGCTTTGTTGAGAGGAGTAATAATCCAAGCACACTTGGTTAAACAAGTTTATTACAAACTACACTACACAACAAAACGTACAACACACAAGTAACTCCGTGTACAGTATTTACAAACAAGGTGTTTCAGAGGCCTGACTTTCTGGTCACCCAGAAAACCCCAGACTGCTACTAAGCACTACACTCTTAATATGCCTACAGAGGCCACACAAGAGATGAGCTGCCTTCCAACTAAATACAAAGCAACCTGCAGTTAAATCTCTCTCTGCACCCCTAATACCACAAAATAGATGAGAAAATAAATATTGCTATCTATAAAAATGCACCTTAAGCAGGAAAGAAGTGTCTAACTCAGGTATCTTTTACTTAGGAAACCCAGGTTTCCTAAAAACACAGATTAGCATGCTCTTCTCTTTCAAGGTTCAAATACTCTCGCCTGGCACAAGCTTCAAGTCCCAGCTCCTCTGGACTCTACTCTTTCCTCTTTGTTGTTTCTTCCCTTTCTCTGTCCTCTTGATGTGATCTTATGTTGAATATCTTCTATTGTGTTTGTCTGTACTGCTCCTTCACAATCACTAATCCACAGCTTGCCTATGTATACTAAGGTAAATTTAACAATTGTTTCCGCTCAAGGGACCCCCCCCCCAGACCTCAGCATGCATCCTCTGTTTACTCTGCAAAGTGTCATAAACTTGATCTTAAATCTAAGAGACACTTCTCAGCCACCTGAAGCTGTAACAATATTAATAAATTGTGTTACATTTCTAAAGTTTGTGCTTTGACTGTCTTGTGCTGTGAACGCGCAATGCTGAAGGACAGTGAAGGGCAAAACATTTTCTCTGTTCTTTTTGTTTTTTATAACTAAATAATGAGATAAACTTATCACTTCATGCTGGCATGATGGGAGAAACCACAGGTGAGCTTGAAGCAGACAGATGTGTTTATCCAGCGCACCTTATGTTTGTATTTATTTATACCACTGGGCGTTTTACTGGAGGAATCAGAGACAAGTGCTTTGCTTTCACAGCAGCCACTTCCAGCCACCATGCAATTCAGATGATATGCGGTAGCACTGATATGATTTACAGATATTTTGCCATTTGTGGAGCTTCTACTGAAGTCATTGTTTAGCAGTGTTGGGCCTTAGCAAGGCTGGGGCCAGAGATGGTACCAGCAGTGGTTGGCGGCTTGTAATGCTGGAAAGTAAAGAAAAGAAATGCAATATTTCACAGAAATCCTATGGAGACTTCCTAAGGTGTGAGGTAGAGTGAAATGTAGCAGGTAGATAAGGCATAGGAGGAAAAAAGACAGGGGCGGGGAGCAAAGAGGAACTGGGCACGAAGCAAGTGAGAATGAGTGTCCAAAGTCAGGAAGAATGAGAAGAGTCTGATATTGAGAGAAGGAGGAAGGTCTGATCCAAGTTCAAGGATCATTTTTGTTTCGGATGTCTTTCTGCAACATGCCTTTCGAAAACCCCTCTGAGAAGATGCAAATGGAGAGATCAGAAAATGATGGCTGTTAGAGGTGAGATGGTGAAATGGGGAACTATCAGTCTGGAGAGATCTTTGATTCTCACAGCTCTGCCAGTCTTCTTCTTGTCTCACCAATGTAAATGGCTGGACAAGAGATGCAGTAAACAAGGTTGCTGGAAATACTAAATGGTGTCATCCGGGTGATCTGGAATTGTCCAGAGGGGCCTTGAATGTGCTTGGTATTGGATATATACAGTATTTACAGGTGCAGCGAGCTCTGTTGCAGGGGAAAGTTCCTGGTGTGGATGATTGCTGAGAGTGGTCAAGAGAGCTGTGAACAAGAAGGTGACAAAGATTAGGTTGTTTGACAATATGAGATGATGGGCAGTCAGAAAAAAGTGGAGGGGTCATCCTGTAAGATGGGAAAGTTGTCATTAATGGTCCTGGGGATAGAAAGGGTGTTAAGGTGGTAGGAAAGCAGGGTTTCGAGCTTAGGGTTGTGAGTCCCTGCGTTCCTATTTAGTTTGATGATCTGAGATCTCTTTTTTTTCAGGTGAGGGTCCTGTCAATATGGTGCATATCCTCTATCTGTGAAAAAAGACTGCATTTTGATGGCATGGTTATGGAGGTCCACGTCATCACTGCATAATCGTGCAGTGAGTCTGAGGACCTGAAAAAGGGAGAGAGTTTCTAGTACTGTATGTGTGGAGTGGAAAAAGCTGTAGAGGTGATAGCTGTGTGAGTCAGTGGGTTTGTAATAGACTGAAGTTGAGTCAATATACATTTTTACAAATGCACAACTGCAGCCAGCTTCTATCTGTTGATTTTATTGTTCTTACTTGTGAATTTCCTCCTCATATTTAAATGCTATTTTCCTTGTTCCCCAGGAATCGGACTGGCGCTGGCTGCGGCTGTCAAAGGCTATCGTTGTATCATCGTGATGCCTGAAAAAATGAGCATGGAAAAGGTCAATGGTTTTGACTTCTGCAGGCTTACAAAAAGATTGTTTTAGGTTCATTTCTGCAGTTTCTGCAGTTTCAGCAGTGGGTGACATTGAGCTCTGCTGTTGTACAGAAAGAAAGCTTTGTTAAATAGCCAAAATACAGGCTAGTATTTTCTTCCATTGCCCCTGCAACATAAAAAGCATTGTTCCTGCTCTGCAAATGAGTCTTTAGAATGAGAAGAGTTTCACAGGGCCTTTCTACCACCTATTAAGAATGTTTCCCCTTTAACTAACATTCTGACATCTAGGATAGTAAATAAAGGAATAAGTGCCAATGTATGTTTGGGTTTATAGTACAAAATGTCCTTGTCTGAAAAGGCATGCACAGATACTTGTGTATTAAAACTGTTTGACTCCATCTGGTAGGATCTTGGAGCTGTGGAATCTGCTGTGACCGGTTGTTAAAATTTATAGTCTGACATAGGCAGGTTTATGTCACAGAAGCAGCTTGTCCCTTTGTTTTCAATGAATTGCCTCATCCTTCCTCTTACAAACATTGCTGTGTGTTTGAAGCAGTCTTGGGAAGCCCGTTTCCACACTGATGGCCGTGGTCTCGGCGTGTGTGCTCTCTGTGCAGGTGGACGTTCTCAGAGCCCTGGGGGCCGAGATTGTAAGGACTCCCACCAGCGCTCGTTTCGACTCCCCGGAGTCACACGTTGGAGTGTCCTGGAGACTCAAGAACGAAATTCCCAACTCCCACATCCTGGACCAGGTATAACTGGGGGCCTCTACGCAGGGATCCAGGGCACAGGCTGAACACCCTCACCACAGCGCTCAGGCGAGCACAGCAATGATCAGACCACTTTGTAATCAAAGGGGTGTGGAGTCACACCTGTGTCGTGTCCACCTAATGGTCCTGCTTTTGCAAATTGACAGAAGATGTGCCATGATTTCACTCTGTTAACCAGGTGCTGTGTTCTTGGCTGGTATACCCTTTTGTTTTTTAAACCAAACACCAGTCTGAATAAGTGCAATTGCAAGACAAAGGGCTGTGATCTGGTGTGTCGCTGTCTTGAAGAGTGTATGAAATGGAGATTTTGGAGATTTTTAGTTTGCATCTTTGTGTGTGTGTTAGGGGTAGAACATTACATTACATTACATGTACCTGAGTGATTGTATTTCATGCACACACTTAGCAATAATTAGTAATAGAATTATTAACGTCACTTTTTCCTGATTGTATTTTCATTTTTAATTAACTTACAGTAATTGCTTTGGCCAGTGGAGTGTTTCTTCATCTTCAGTGGTCTGTACCATCTGCCCAGTGTGATTTTCATATGACATTGTAAAATGAATTTAGAACAGTTTTCATGATAGCTGAATTTAAGTTTCTTATCTGAATCCCACATCAAGTTAGTCTGACATTTATGGCACCAAAAAAGAAAACCTCAAGATACTCATTAGTTTTTGTAGGTGTTTTGAAATCTTAAAAAAAGTTTAAGATTAGTAAATCACATTCATGAATTAGGGTTCAATCATGAAATCTTAGTTTTGTAGGAAAGAGAACTGAAGTCATCATTTTATTATTCATGGTTAGAAATTTTTTGTTGTTAAATGTCAGTTCATAATGTGACTTCTAGTTTGGAAACATGTAGGTTTTACCTCATAAATAGTGGCGTAAAACTATTTGCCAGCAGCCATATCACTCTGCAACTCATAACTGGCAACCCACTGAAGCTCAGCAGGTGTGAGCCTGGTCAGTACCTGGATGGGAGGTTGCTGCTGGAAGAGGTGTTAGTGGGGCCAGCAGGGGGCGCTCACCCTGCGGTCCATGTGGTCCTAATGCCCCAGTATAGTGACGGGGACACTATACTGTAAACAGGCGCTGTCCTTCGGATGAGACGTAAAACCGAGGCCCTGACTCTCTGTGGTCATTAAAAATCCCGGGGCGTTTCTTGAAAAGAGTAGAGGTGTAACCCTGGCGTCCTGGCCAAATTTCCCATTGGCCCATACAAATCATGGCCTCCTAATAATCCCCCTCTATGAATTGGCTTCATTACTCTGCTCTCCTCCCCACTGATAGCTGATGTGTGGTGAACGTTCTGGCGCACTATGGCTGCCGTCGCATCATCCAGGTGGGGCTGCACATTGGTGGTGGTGGAGGGGAGTCCCCATTACCTGTAAAGCGCTTTGAGTGGAGTGTCCAGAAAAGCGCTATATAAGTGTAAGCAATTATTATTATTAGTAGTAGTAGTAGTAGTAGTAGTAGTAGTATTAGCAAGTTCTCATTAAGAGAACAGTGTAGTGGCCAGAAGCTGCTCTGACATGTGTAAGAAAGACTCCTTCAGACTAACTCTTCACTAGCCTGGTTTTCCCTCTGTAGTACCGCAATCCCAGCAACCCCCTGGCCCACTATGACTCCACGGCGGAAGAGATTCTGCAGCAGTGTGACGGTAGGCCTATGGTGTCTTTTCCAAGGTGATAAGAGCATGTATGAGCTCTGCGGAAAACTGCTGTTTCGCTGTAGTAATAATGCATTTTAGCTTTATTCTGTTATGTAATTAAAGCCACCCTGTTTTCTGGAGCTTATGACATTATTGCACATAAAGGGAATGTCTTTCAGAATGTCTGTCGTGAGTGGCTGAGGTTTAAGCAGATTCACAGTATTGTGCTCCGATAATGTTATGAGCAGTGTGTGACAGGTTATTATATGTAAAACAAAAGAGCTGTTTTACACAAAAGGCTATAGGAGTCTGGAACAAGCTGCCCAGCCATACAGATGGAGTAGATTCTCATATCAATTAGCTATTAGTTACCAAATGAGCTGGGCGTGTCAAATGGCCTCCCCTCACTTGTAATCTTTTTTTTGCTCTTTTGTTCTTTATAGTACAGCTCTTTTTTTTATAAATATATGGGGGAAACAGGATCTGATCTGAAGACTTAGGCTAACTGAGGCAGTGCAAAGTAAAGCAAAAGATGTTCCACAGATGTCTTTCATTGACTGAGCAGTCAGCTGCAAATCTGTAGCGCAAATCACACTGTTGATAAATTGAAGAATGTAATGACACAAAAAACTGGCGTCTTGATTCTTAGTATCTTCACTTTTTCTATCAGGACTGATGCTGGACTCTGGCTCATGTGAACCTCAGCTGGCAGTTGCTAATTTTAGACTCACAGGGCAGAATTACAAGCAAGGTTCCTGTTTTCTTTTGACACCCATCCCCTGTTTTTTTCCTCCCTTCAGGTAAAGTGGACATGCTGGTGGCTGGGGCTGGCACAGGTGGCACCATCACTGGCATTGCCCGCAAGCTGAAGGAGAAGTGCCCTGGGTGTAAGGTGGGTGTTTTTTGGAGCCATTTCTTGTTGTTGTTTTTTTTTTTACTTTAGTCTGTTTTTGGTTGAGCTGTCCATGCCTCCAGGAAAAGCGGTCTAAAGAATGATTAAGAAGTAAACACGGCAATTGCCGATTCTTAACATCAAGTGCTACACCCCACAACTGGCATACTGCTAAAGCTTCTGCTCTGTTGCTTATTTAATAACCTCTGCTGGGCAGATCTCGGAGAGAACTCTTTTAAGATATTTCGTTTATGAACACAAAGCCAGAAGAGGAAGGTTGATGTTTTGAGACTGTATTTTCTCTTTCATCACCGGTGTCAACACTCATCCATATGTGGACATATTCAGTCCCTCACTTAACCCCCCTCTCCAGGATAATTTGGTCCAGAAAAAGAGATAAGCCTGTCTTGGGAAAGTAAGGCTTCTGACTGTGTCCCCTTTTCCGCCCAGATTATCGGAGTGGACCCCGAAGGCTCTATCCTTTCTCAGCCAGACGAGCTGAACAAGACGGACAAGACGACGTACGAGGTCGAGGGCATCGGCTACGACTTCATTCCCACAGTGCTGGACCGCGAGGTAGGTTTGCATCTCCAGACTCACCAGCACTTTCTTTAGCCCCTGTTCCTTAGTTAATATGTCAGCTTCACAGCAATTAAAGGGGAGCTGCAATGCTGTTTTTACATTTTGGGAATGATGAGTGCATTTCAAACCACAATGAAGCCATCTCTTTTATAATGTAAATTACCGTCTATTTGAAGTTTCAATGTATGCATAGCATCGTATTTGCATCATTGTCTGCGATTCAGAACAAGGACCAAGCAAGTTTTGCTACTATATTAATAAAAAATGTTGCCTTGTAAGTGTCGATTTCATGAAAAACAATTAAGTATTGTAGAGAAAGAGCAACTTGCCAAATGACTAATATCCACTCATAATAATTAACATTGTTAGGAGACTTTGTTTCTCATTTGTTTACAGAGACTAGTGAGCACGAATGGCTGTTTTTACATTATAATTTGCTCAAAATCGCATGACCAACGGTTTCTTGTCTGCCTGTGACAACATGGCAACCATACAGTACTTTTACAAAGTTCACAATTTTACACTTAAATTTAAGTTTGTAAACTTTTGTGATCCTGTCAATTACTTTATTTTGTTACTGAGATTTAATAAATAGGGCTAAGAAATTTGGACTACAGTTCCCAATTAAAGTAATTAGGGCTTAATCTGGAAGAAGACATCCACACAATCCTTACCATCTAGGTAGGACTAAATTAATTTTTAATAGAATACGCTCTCTTCAAAAAATGTAACCCAGCCATGCCTCATTAAAGCAGCCACTTGCATTACTACAGAATGAGTTGCAGCATTAATTTGCTGTTTTTTCTTGTGACTATAATCACATTTGTTGGTAGAAATGAAGCTTATCCTCAGTAATCCAGTACAGGAGATGACTTTCATGTTGGACTAGTCTAACAATGCCAGCCTTTAGCTGTGAAAAGGCCTGATTTAATTATTTTACCATTGTAAACTGGTGGGAATGCTGTGGTTGTGTGATTTGAAAAATAAATCTGGAGTCCTCACTTCTGATTTTATTCCCAGTCCCTTCATTCCCCCAGATGTGCCAGAAATATACTTCATTCTCGAGTTTCAGGGCTCATTTGTGTTGTCAGGCTGGTCCACCTTTTAGGGACTTGAGATTATTGTAACTTTGGAAATAGTTAATCACACTTTCTGTTTTGCTGTTTTTAATACCCTGTTATGAAGATAAGGCCTGTGTCTTCATTGCATGTCTGCTCATGAGTTGCATCCTCATGCAATGTTGTAATGCTCATTGTCGCTGTCCGTTCAGTGTCTTGGAAGGTTAAAAACTCCACCAGTTTTAACTGGCGTCATATTTTGGCCATCAGGGGGAGCCAAAAGTGTTTTATTAAAATTAATAATAATATCAAATACCTTTCCAAACCAACGGACATTGCTTTTAGAAGTAGCAGACCTCCTGTGTTTATCAAGGTTTATCAAATGCTCACAATGAAAATGGCAGAACTTATCATCCAGCTATTAATGCACAAGGTTTTGTGGGACTTGATCTGTGTGAGATCGTTCTGAGAGCTGGCCTTGGTTTCTTTCTCCATGGGCAGGTTGTGGATGACTGGTATAAATCCAACGATGAAGAATCCTTCAACATGTCTCGTCTTCTGATCAAAGAAGAAGGATTGCTCTGTGGTATAATTTTGGCCACTTTTTCTTTCCTACTTTCTCCTTTTTACTAGTGATGTATAACCTATTTGATAAAAACTCAGTGCCATCTCTGGATTTGCCATCTCGCTTTCTCAGTCAAGGATTATTGGGAATAAAAAGAAGTTTTAATTAGTTTTGGACCTCTTTATATCTTTTATATCCTTGAAAGTTCTTTTTTTAAATGTGTGCCTCTGTGTAGATAATATTGCTCTAGGTTTAAAAATGAGATAATATGAAGTTAACCATGTACATATTTTATGTTTTCTATTTTGTTAATGCCGCATTTTTACACTCCCAGGTGAAATTTTTTGTGTCATAGAATCCTGCTCCATATATTTAGTGGATTGAGTCTGTTGAACTTTAAGAACTTTTAATAAAGACCTGAAAAGGCAAGTGTGACTTGGGCTCTTAATCTGCTGGCAGCTCTTAATCCCCAGAGCTGCCAGCAGGTGGCGCCACCTCTCGCTGACAGCCAGTGTTAAAGCCTCTAGGGGCAGGGAGGGGGGAGGGGGCGTTCTTTCTTCGGTCGGGGCGCAAGAGTAACCCTGTCCCTCTTCCTGTGGCGCAGGAGGCAGCTCGGGCTCCGCCATGGCCGCAGCGATGAAGGCAGCCAAGGAGCTTGAGGAAGGACAGCGCTGTGTCGTCATCCTGCCAGACTCCATCCGCAACTACATGTGAGGAGCTGGGGGGCCCAGGGTTGGGGTGTGGGACAGGGCGGGGGTGACCCTGGGCTTGTGAATTCTACCTGTCTGGGTAGAGGGCTCCTGCTCGCAACCTTCTGCTTGTAAAGGAGACCCTAGCGAGAAATATTCCTCGTCTGTATGCAAATTTATCCGATCTCATGGCGGAAAAAGACCTGGGCACTCATGTTACAATGTGAGGAGCAATAAGAACAAAATTAGTTAGGGTTTATAGTCAGAAGTGTAAAATTCAAATCAAGGGATGTTATTAAAGCTGAATAACACACTAGTAGGTAAAGTAGTGCCTCCTGTTGCTGGTTTTTAGTGCACCTCCACACGGCTTTCACTGGTGTCCTCTGGTTCATGATTCACTTTCATGAAAGGAAAATGTTTTTTTTCCTCTACCCTCACTAGAAAGAGTGAAACTAAAGGAAAGAGAACCGCTGGGTGGGTTTATTTTGACAAGATTCAGTTCCTCCAGCCTGTCAGTGGAGGATATTTCCTTAACTCCCAGCTAGCATCAGGATACCCTTCGCTGAACTGATTCCAGAGCAGCAATATCTTTTCAGTAACATGTTGACCAAAACAGCACACATTTTATGTTAAACTTTATTTGTGCACAATACGATTGTAACACAATACTATATTAGCTATTCAATTGCTTCCCCACATTGTCTGAAAGATGTAAATGTGTCCGGAAAGTTTAGGCTCATATGCGGTCAGAGGTCATGCCAGCTGACCTTTTTAATTAGTGTTATCCATGTCCTGCAGGAATAATTTCACCCTGCATTTCATTTTCCAAGGTCCAAGTTCCTGAGTGACAAGTGGATGTTTCAGAAAGGATTCCTCACAGAGGACAGCATGGTGACAAAGCCCTGGTAAGACTTGGGGTTCCTGACCTCTGACCTCTGGGGTTAAGGATTAAAGGAGTGGGGAGCGGGGGTGAAGGTGTGGGAGTAGGGTTATTGTAGGATTGTTCCTTCCTCACGTCATCATCTTTTGTTTCTTTTACAGGTGGTGGAATATGAAAATCCAGGAGCTGAACCTGAGTGCACCACTGACTGTGCTGCCTACTGTCACATGTCAGAAAACCATTGAAATCCTGAAGGAGAAGGGCTTTGATCAGGCTCCTGTTGTCAATGAATCAGGGTGAGTCCTGTGGTTTTGTCACTGGGTGCTGAGGCCTGACATTAGTGACCCTGAATTGAGCCCCTTCCAGACCTCTCTTTACCTATAATCCCTTTTATGATCAATACAGTCCGTAGTTTTTTTCAACTCTGTAGTAAGTACCACCTAAAAGTGCTCCAAGAAAAGCAAGGGATTAAGAGGACATCAAGAGTGTCATTATTGTAATATTTGATTTTACACACACAGTAGCTTTGCAATGTCTTTTGATTCAGTTCCAGTTAGTGCAAAGACATTAAAATACATTGAAAATGGCAATTGTGATTTAGAGACATAGTTATTACTCAAATTTGCAACCTGACTTGATTTGATGGGCCCTAATAACCGACTGAGAATGTGCTGTGTTGTGTTGGTTTCATCCCAGGTGGATAAAACTTCTTCCAATTCCCTTTCCAGGCTAATTCTGGGGATGGTCACCCTGGGGAATATGTTGTCCTCAGTGCTTGCAGGCAAGGTCCAACTGTTTGATCCAGTCAACAAAGTCCTGTACAAACAGTTCAAACAGGTGAGGAAAAGTTTCTTTTTCTGCCAGAAACCACCACAGGCTGGGCCCTGTTCTTCCCAGGCATCTGCTCTGGTTGAGATGAAGGTGCCAGTTTCAAGGATTACACGGATTTAGTTCAGTGTCTGTGTATATCATTACCGGGCAAAAAAACAAACACAAAAAAGAGAAAAATAAAAAAAACAATCTAGTATTAAATAGAAATAGGAGAACAGGCAGATAAGTCTTCAGTCAAGATTTAAAAACTGTTAAAGAGTGTACAGCTGTCGGAATGAGATTCCGAGGTTTAGAGCAGTGAGGCTGAATACACACACCCCAGGACACTTGTATCTGTAAGAAAGTACTACTAAAAGATTTGCCTCAGCAGAGCAAAGGGGGTGATTTGTTGTGTAGGGATTTAAAAGTTAAAAGTAAAATTTTGAACAGCATGCAGCTGGGGCGCATAAAGGAATGACTTGAGCTTTGAAGCTGACGTGCCTCAGAAAGCAAACAGTACAAGATGTGTGGTTAAGAGAGAGAACTGGGAGTTACTGTGAGCAGGGCTTTGTTTCATGATTTCTGTGCGGCTGATGTCGGGATTATATTAATACTGTCACAGGTAAGGAGGATTTGGGAAGTGACACATGAACTGTGAAGAAATAAACCTTTGATGTGCAAGTTTGTAGAACCAAGCTGAAACAACCTGAATAATTTTTAATTACTCATTCCATTGCAGTTACAATATCCAACACCATTTCAATTGCTTGGTTAGATCCTAATAAATGAGAGAGAGTATTTGGCGTGACTCTCCTAGCTGATGGATTGGCAACCTGACTGTAAGGATGGGGCTGACTGAACTTTTGCTTACTTTCACAAGGAATGAGCCAGGGAGCTGTTGCAAGGGTGTAGACAGGACAGAGAGGAGTGGTGTGAGAGGGATGCACTAAGAGAAGTCCTGGGTACAAGACTTCTACTTGTTGCTGAGCAGAAGTGTACAAGAATATATACACAATTTTGTAACCTTTTGAAAAGGACTAAGTTTACAAAGTTCACAAAAACTATAAGTAAGTGTTTTTACATTTTCTTGGAATTTGTTACCCATTAACAACCATCTCCTTTTTCTGCAGAATCATTTCAAATTAGATTTTAACTGTTCAGTAAATATTAAGGAAGGATTTGCTGTATTTGTCAGAATGACAAATGCAAACGTTACACATTTACTACATTGTGCAACAGTGAGCATATCTCTGAATAGCCATACCTTTAAGGAAAAACTGATTTCAGAGGCATGACATTAAAAAAAAAAATTGTGCTTCACACAGCTTGTGACATTGTTACCCTTTGAATTCAATCTGTGTCTTTTAACTCCAGATTCACCTGAATGACAACCTGGGCAAACTGTCCCGGATCCTAGAGATCGACCACTTCGCTCTTGTTGTCCATGAACAGATTCAGTGTAAGTGTGTAACTCTCAAAAAAAAATGCTGGTAAAATATTGGACCGAAAAAGGCCTGTGTATTAGTTCCACACCAGGTAAAAATAACAAGATGCCCTGTCTGTGAAGACGGATATTTTCCCCCTTTCTTCATAGATCTATCCCAATGACTTGGAGAAAAACGGATCCCCATACTCAGTTAGAGAAGGGCTCCAGATTGTCCTCACGATCATCCGGATGAAAATGTTCAGGGTTTTTATTTTATAACTAAAGTATGGATAAACAGGATTAAAAAGCAAACCCATATTATAGTGTTTAGTATTGTGTATTATAATCGGATGTGTGTTTTGAATCTAACATGATTAAAATTGTAAAATTGGAATTTATTTAGTTCTGTCAACCATTATAAAGTTCCATGATGCAACAAAAAGTGCCAGAAGTACCCAAAGAATACAGCATGTTGGCCAAATTCACATCCCTGTCCTTAAGTCTGAATTGACATCCTTAATACCTTACAGTGGCCCTTTGCCACTTCCTTTAACATCTTTATCCACCTTCTTTAACAAAGGCTGTGCCAGGCTGCAGCGATGCTGAATGAGATTAAGCCGAGAGAAGGCTGATACTTGGTGCAGAACCACCCTTCTTTGAGGAAGTTGCACAGCATGCTTTTTGAATTTGGCTCATGTGATCGGTAGATAAACAAGTTAGTTTTCGGTTTTTGGGTTCAAGAGCCCCATAGGCAGAAGCAAAGTCCTTTGTTGGCTGTAATTTTGAGATATCCAAAATGTCCCTGGGTTTGTGTGTTCTGATTAAACAAACACTGCACTTTGGGCTTTTAGCAGCATGTGGCTGACCGCTGTAGAGCTATTTAGTAGAAAGTAAAAAAAATCTGACAGCATACACACTAGCCTGTGCAGAATGAGCTTAAAGAAAAATACCTGCTCGTATAAAAGTGATATGTTCTTCTCTCACATGTTACATTTATTGATTGGTTAAATATACAGAGGTCCGCCATATTGAAAACCATAGCATTGTGCAGCTAAACACCAGGAGCCAAAGGGAGCAGACATAAGCACACTAGTATCTACCTGTTGTGCCTTCTCTGTCCCGTGAAAGAGCTTGTCCTAGACACCCCTGCCAAAAATGATAAAGTTGTGAATATTTCAGCAGAGTGCAGTATGATGCATTTTATTTCCATCTTGATTTAAAACTTTATTGTGACTACATTTTTATTATCAGAAAAAATCTCAACCCACAACAAAAGCTTAACAGTCCCTGCTCCATCTGACTTGGGGAAATGAATTTTCATATTCCATTGAATAACTTCCAATGCTCCTCAGCCGTGTCAGAGCCCGCTTTATTCTTGTGACCAATCCTGGTGCCCGTCTCTCCATGTCTTTTCAACAATGTTATTTTTGTTGAATGTACAGTTCTCGTCCAGGAGGCAGTTTTAAACTACCATCAACTAGAGATGTAACGTGGTCAGTGTGCAAGGGGTGCATCTCAGTCTTTGCGAGCACAGGCGTCCCAGGATACCTGGCATTGACGCTGGTGTGTGTGCATCTTTTTCCTGATCTTGCATGTCGAGCACAGCCAGGAATAACTTCAATATGTAGCATTCTTGGTGGTAGAGTACTCAAATTGAAATTAAATTAGAATTAAAAAGAAATGTAAAACTATTGTAGGCAATTCACCATAATTCTTAATTGATGAACTATAATAATTATGGAAATTGCAGTAGGAAGGCTTTCTCAAATTTTGTTTTTATTGCTCAGTGGAACTCTGTGTGACCAAATGAAAGAAACTGCTTCCAGCTGATGATTAATGAAAGGATCCCTTGACGTGAATGTAATTTATTGGTCCCACACATTCACAAAACCAAAATCAAAATGTGGAAGTGCATATAGACCTGAGAATAGGAGCCACATGTTTACACAAAGGGTTGCGGGAGTGTGGGACAAGCTACCCAGTCATGTTGTTGAAGCCAGTACCCTGGATTCTTTCAGGGAGCCTCTGGATGGGATCTTCAGATCAATTGCTAGCAAGCAAATGAGCTGAAAGGCTTGCTCTGGTTTGCAAATGTTTACTTTATTGCATAGTTGAAATAGTCTGTTTTCTGATAAGCATGAAAGGCGCTGCACAGACTTCTCGATCAGTAGTTTTCTAGTTTCTTGTGGCAGTAGATGGAGTGCTTTTTTCCTCATCCTCCTGCTCCTCTTCCAGACCTGTCAGACGGTTCTCCCTGCCTGAAGCAGATGGTGTTTGGCGTTGTGACTGCCATTGACCTCCTCAACTTCGTCACTGCCAAAGAGAAGAAACAAGGCGAGAACTGAGAGGTGCCTTCCTGGTCCATCCCTGTAAAAGCAGGACACAACATTGAATGTAGCAAACTCTTACATTTTCTTCAAAATCAGACTCCATCATAGTATAATGACTTGCCATTAACAGCAACTGTCAATTCTGAAACAAAGGCAATGATAATTTGAATTTGGAAGTGTCCTTAGGAAAAAGAAAAAAGGTTGTTAGGTTTTCTAATTTTTTAAATGTTTTGTGGTTCCCTGGCAGACAAAATCCAGCTTACCCTCAGATTAGTTTAAATCCTGAAATATACATGCATCATATTTTCATGTTTCTTTTGTAAGCAGCAAAATATTTTCAATATGATTATTTACACATTTGCAGCCTTTTAAAAGATTATCTATCAAATCTTACACTTGGGCTCCTGAATGGCTCAGTCATAATGCTGAGAGATCTGGATTGTATTATTAAATTATCCTACTGTGACCAGGAATCAGGGGGGTTTAGCGATTGATGGAGCACTGCTGAGGTTGAGTCGCTTTGTATTGGGCTGTAAGGACTGAAGAGTGCCCCCTGCCAGACATCTGTGAAACTGCAGTTGTCTTGCATCCAGTGGTTGCAGTTTTCCATGTTTTCCACACCTGCCCTTGGTGAGCACAAGGGCTCTCGGTGAATAGGATTAAAACTTGGGAGGTGTAAAAATAATTGTTGATGCTAAATTTGGGAAAAAATGAGGAAGATGGAAATTTGTTGACTGGTTCCTAGTAGTATTCCAAGTTCATCCAGGTGGATGCTGCACATTGGTGGTGGTGGAAGGGGAGTCCCCATTGCTATAAAAATATAAGCAATTATTATTATTATTATTCCGCTTGTATCTTGAAGCGTGGATTTTGAACTGCTCCTCCGAAGAAGAGCAGTTTATCTGATAAGCAGTTGGTATTTCTGCCACTCTATGAATGTTCAAATATTGACGTGCAAAGACTCTGTAAATTAGAAGAAATCACATTCCTGTACATGCAGCTACAATGCCCTGGAGTGCTTGCTGCTGGATAACTCGGCCGCTATAACATACCTTTTTAAATCTGGCGCATTCAGAGCCAGCATGGTGGCGCAGTGGTTAGCAATTCTGCCTCAATGTGCTGGAGCCTGGGTTCACTTCTGGACTTGAGGTGCCATCTGTGTGGACTTTGTATGTCCTCCACATGTTTGTGTGGGTTTGCTCTGGTTATTCTGGTTTCATCTCACAGTCCAAAGACGTGTTGGTAAATTAATTTACTTCTGAGACAACTGGGCCAGATGTGTGTTCGTGTCCTGTGATGGGCTGGTGCCCCATCTGGGGCCTGCCTTGTCTTGTACCCACTGCTTGTTGGGATGGCCTCCAGCTCCCCCGTGACCCAGAATTGGATGAAGCAGTTAGGAGATGGATGGATGTTCAGAGCACCCTACCAGCCCTCCCTTTCAGAAAACAAGTGCAAATGACACGAAAGAGAAGCGGTCTTTCATGCAGTCACATCACAGTCCAGGTTGACTTGCTTTTCCCAGGATCCCACCTGCCACCGTAGGGGGTGGAATCTACACACTATACTCTTTAATTTTTGTATTTATAAATACAAAAAAACCTTAATGAGCAAGTTTGGGATGTTTTCATTTGGCTGGATGAGTCTGCGCAGTGACTGTTAATGTACAAGGACATTGAGACACTGGCAATGGATGTGCCAAGACTGCTCACTCCCAGACACACCTGGTGATTCTCCCAGAGGAGCCAGAGGTTGTTTAACCCCGTGCTTTTACAGACTCAAAAACCCCTCCCCCTTGCTTGCACTGGCAATATGTAAATACTTTATTACCGGTTGGTCCATAAATAATGCACAAGGGAGGAGCTATACCATGTGCTTGACATGGCAGTGCCTGAAGGTCAGCCTGTGGATACATAGTAATAAACCCACACAACAGTCAGTAGAAATACAGGGAGAAAAATACAGCAGGCATAGGGCATCTTGAAACAGAGCATTTCCTAGAAGAACTGCAGTAAACTATTTTATACCGAAAATACAGTAGTATTGTTTCCAATTCCTTTTGCGTGAAGGAAATGACTGACCCTGGAGCTGCATGTTCAGAAATAATTGACCCCCTCCAGGGATGGGTTTAGGGTAGCTGGTGTATTGGAACACGAATGCTGAAATACTGATGAATTAGTTTGTCTAAACCCAGTGCCCAAGCAGCAGGGCTTGTATTGGGGGGTGTTTTCATGTATTAAAATAAAGACGGGAGGTTCATGAAGTTTAAAAGATCCTTTTGGATTTTGTTATGGTATGAAACAGGAGTATGAAACAAGCTACCAGCTGTGTTCTTGAATCTAATACTCTGGTTTATTTCAAGCCAGATTCCTGGATCAATTAGCTGTAAACTACTAACCAGAGTCAATGGGCATAATGGCCTCCTCTCACTTGTAACCTCTTGCTTTTTTCCATATTCTAGGTCAAACATTCTTTACCATTATCTGTTTTGAAAACACTGCAATAATAACAATGGCTTCAAATAAAGTTTGTCTGCTCCCCCAGAGTACAGTGTTTTTTTTTGCTATTTTTGTGTATTTGATTTTTTTTAATGGGACTCCCATGCAGTTCCTTACCCTTTTCAGTATTGTTGTTGTAGCCTTTTCCATGCACATTCACAGTGAAAAAGTTGTGAAATACTTAAATATATTTTGTTTATGGAAGAGGCATAATATTCATAAAGAAAAGATTTACAAGTGTTTTTCATCGCAGTAAAGTTAGCTTGAAGTTCAAAAATGATTTTGGCACGCTCATAGCATTTTCACGAAACCTCCTTAAATAGCGAAAACACTTGTATCATGTATAAGGTACATTGGGAATATTTTCCCAGCCTTCACTTTGTTCTTTTTATGGAGTTTTTTTGACCACACGTAAATATTCTGACGCCAATATCTTTGCAAAGGAGACGCACAAATTCTTTAAACCAAATGCATTTTAAAGACCGCGACTTGAAAGGGTTTTCTCAGGGTTTTGATTGATGCGCAATCACGCACCGTCTGGAACACAGCAGGACCACTGTGTACTGTACATTCAGTACGTTCAAAACGTGAGAAATACTGCGAGTTTCATGCGAACAACCCGTATATGACCATAGGTAGCAGAACAGCACAGACTGTAATTATCCAGACTGTAAGCACGGGAATAAAGCTTTGTTTTATTTCTGAAACTCTTTCTAAATGTCCTGTTTTCATTTAGGTAAGGGTCAACTACTGTATTTACACAATACTGCTGACAGCAGGAAAATTCCTATTCTTTACTCAACAGCTTTTTTAAACCGCAACCATGATGTTCAAACTGATTTTTTTAAACCAATAGCATTTAAACCATAACACCCACAATTGCTGCAATTAAGTGTTTTACACACTAGGCAGGTCCTCTGACCTTTCACAACCTTGCTTTGATTTGTGAAGCCTTTCTTTCAGATACCTGGATATGTTCATTTTGCAAATCCTGGTCTGATGAGGGTAGTGTACACACACTATCACTGTGGTAGGTTTTGCAAGCAGGAAATGTAGTGATGGATTTGAAAGAAACAAAGGATATAGTTCAGTGGAAGGACTGTAAGTTTATCTGCAGGCAGTACTGGTTCTGTAAACTAGGGAAAAGTAATCCAAAAGGGAAACACATAAGTGTTTATCGATAATCCCATTTTTTTTTAATTGTTGTATTCCTTATTACATGTGTGCACAACCATCACCATTATAGAAATCAGGCACGTCAGATTTGATTATAAAATATGTATGTCAGATATGTATGCAATTCATTGTTCTATCCAGTAAGATTAAAACAAAGGAGAACAGAATGTCTTCAGGGATGATGTTAAAGACCATGTGATTTGGCATGTTGGAGTCAGAAATGTTTGGATTAATCAAAACAAAACAGCATCGTGAAAGTACTCCAAAATGTGTTTTAGTTGTAGCACATACAGAACATAATTTCTTGCTATAAAAAACTGTCCCTAGCCATATTTTGTTTGCTATAGATGTGTTCCCAAAAATGAATTTTAAAAAAGCCATCTGATTCAAATAGATTTGGCAAAATCTATGGATACTTTGCCCTTGAGCTGTGTAGCTTTTAGATTCTTTGGTCCTTTATGTAGGCCTCTCAACTGGAGGATTTGTATAGGAACACCCATTATTTAAGATATAGATTTAAAAAAGTATAGCTTTTGTAAACAATGTGAGAGTATCTTCATGCATTCCTCTTCATAATACTTCTATACACTAAGTTTAAACTACTGAGTGAACTAGGTTTAGTACAGACAGCAAGGGGCACCTCTTTAGCTGGTTGTGGGCTTGTGGGTCGACTTCAACAAATGTCCAACTGTGTTTTTAATAATTATACTTGGGCTTCTTTAAAAAAAAGCCGGATGAGGTCCTCAGATTAATATATTATTAACTTCTACATTAGCTAGATTGAGCGAAAGGCCTCCTGTTTGTAACCTTTCTAATGGTTTTAAATTCCAGGCACTATTGATAAGTAAGCAGCCACCCTATACTACATAGCAAAGCATAATAGCTCAGGTGGGTAGCTGTGTCAGCATGCATAGGCTGCAAAGGAACAAGTAACAGGTTTATTCCATGCTGAAAAGAGAAGAAAGAAAACAACCTTTCAGCCGTGGAGCCTTCTTCAGGCGTCACACCTGAAGAGGGCTCCATGGCCAAAACATTGTGTTTCTTCTCTTTTCAGCATGGAATAAACCTGTTACTTGTTCCATAGCATAATAGCTATGTTTGGAAATCAAGAAAACAATAAAGAAAAGTACATCTTTTTTCAGGATAACTCCCCTCAGACAGAAACCTAAGTATGTTTCAATATGCCCGAAAAACAGTATGTCTTGGATAAGAGTTAACTTTCAGAACCAATGTGAAACTGAAATAAAACACAGGAAACCCAGAAATGACAGGAGGCCACTTATTAACTATCACCAGAGAACCAAAACTGAAGTCCTTATCATTGGGCAAAAAAAAGTTGTTATTACATGTCAAACTCCAGTTTTAATGTGGCTGATCACACTGTTAATCACATCACAGTAACAGTGAAAAATATTGTACAGTAACTTGGCGAAAAGTTTCACCCTGACCTTAATGTTGATTCTCATTGAAAGCGGGTTTCTAAAGTTTTTTTTCTCCATCTTAGAAACATAACTAAGAATGTCCACTCCATATTTAGAAAGCTCAAAGAATCTAACTGTTCTAATGTTCTGACTAGAACACAGAAACACAATCACATCATCCAAGTCCTGTTTTTATTGCACTGGCTTCCCATATGATACCATATACATCTCAAGGCTTTTTTATTCACATGCAGATAACTTAGCCTCCTAAGTGATCTTTTGCTTCTGTAAGCAAAGACTGTTCCAGTCGAAGGATGCTGTCTGTCTCAAAAACTGCCAAATAAACAGGAATATGCAGGTGACAGAGCTTCCAGTCACACAGCCCTTATACTGTGGAATGACTTACCGAACCTTATTAAGGATGTCCAATCTGCATCAGCTTCTTTATCGAAGCTGAAGACACATCTTTTCAGTTTTTCTTATCCTGACTACCTAAAACCTCTGCCCCGGTCGAACAGCCACCAAAACCAATGGTTTTTGAGTGTGGAGGCATATTACCACATTGCAATCATAGTTGCTGTCTAATCATTTTTAACCCCTTCCTGCCTCTCTTCTGTCATCACAGTTCCTTTAGTAGGCATTGAGGTCCATCAAGCTCCATCCCATTACAAGGATTGCTCCTAGATTTCTAAAGCGCTGGCCCCAGTGGATATGAAGCCCTACCAAACCAAGATCCCAGAACACTCCAACCAGTGGATAGGACACATTTGCTCTCACATAATATCTTAAATACAATTCACTCTCATGACATGTGCATGTGAACTGTTTCTAATAACTGCTTGTCATACACACCCAGGACCTGAAGGGGGAAATCAACCTTCAGGCCTTGAAACTTCAGAGATTTAGCTTTCTCCTTTGGAGTTTATTGTTTTTCTCTCCCTCATGCCTGATGGTTACACAGTCACATTATCAATACATGCAGCACACCAGACTACATACAGTACATACACTTTCCCTGTGACACTCTGTGTTTAAAGGCTAGGTAGGTAGGTCACTTTTCAGGTCATCAAGGCCCATGGGGGAATAGGGAGCAAGGGCCACCATTTTTCTCAACCATCCAACACTGGAAGTGGAGGTAATATGGTCAGCATCACACTCCAGCTGGCCTATTACCTCCAGAAGGATTAACCCCCGGTACTCATTTGGAAAGCAGGCTGAAAGAACCTGGGAGCCGTCTGGAAGGAATTAGAGCAAGCTACATCAATCGCTTGCCCTTGCCCCTACCTGGGATTGAACACGGGACCTTCCATTCAGGAGCTAAATGCCCTGGCCATCTGAGCTACCACAGCTGTTTAAAGGTTATCTGTCATAAAATTTGTAATATGTATAAGAAAATTACAAATGAAATGAATGGAATATTGCATTTTAAAACTTCACAAATCAAAGCATTGCCGTGAAAAGTCAGGGGGCCTGACTAGTGTGTAAAACACTTGGTTACAGCATCGTGTGTGTTGTGGTTAAAAAGCGATTGACTCGTGAAGAGCATCACCCATCCCAGCTACTGCCTTGAGAAGCTTGTGACTTTTACAAGACAAACGTTCCAAACGTTTAGAAATTGCCGATTTAAAGTGTGAAAAGGACTATCGACTCTCCAGAAGTAGGTCTGATAATCCCTGGAGACGATTACATGTATAATATCAAACCCCCAACAGTAGTATTGGGTGTACATCAAGAGGTAATGGTTATGACGCTTCTTGCTCTGTCTATCCAAAGATTCAGCTCGGATTTATAACTGTGTGACGTAGAAATCAGACACGCATTATTACAGATTTGTGATTGTAGGGATATGTAAAAACGAGAGTAAAGGGAATTAACAGTTAATTTTTGCTTGGGAGTTTTATTTTTAATATTGCCTTCACAAGAACATAACATAAAATAACAACGTTTCTTATATGACTTACATAGTATCGCTTTTTTTAGGTTAGGTCACAGTACTTCAGGAAAGCGGTTCCTGTTAATAGCTGTTTGTTTGGAAATTAAAAGTTAATGTCAATGAAAAAGTATCCTCGATGATTTGGTGATTGCAACCTATAACAAATTAATAGTAAAATATCCTCCAAATTGTTTTCCGCAAATTCAGCTTTTTGTGCGTGTGAAGGCTGTGTGAACAACAACGTCATCATTACCAGCAGTTAGCAATTGCACGGAATTCGCTG